AAAAGAGAAATGATTCAAAAGAACTTCAAGAGTTTTGTGGAGGATTTGAGATAAGTTTTTATCTTTATTTTAAGTTTACTTTTGGTTTTAATTGAGACTTCTTGTTAGTTTGACAATTATTTCTACTTTTAAATTAAAGTGTGGTTTTGTTTTCTCCATGGATTATGAGTAGTCTTCTTTATCTTTCTCCTTAAAATGGTAAGTAATTAAAGTGTTGGATGGAAGTTGTAGATAGTATTGATCTTTAATGTTGGAAGAAGTTGTGATGATTTAATTCAATGCACTTCATTTACTTCTTGATCTGACCCATCTAAATGTTAAAATTTGTTGTGAGAACATAAAAGAACCGAGCTGGTATTATCTCATTCTACAATTGGAAAGCAATTGGAAAGATTGTATGAATGAGAATGTAATTCATATGATTTAGATAGGGAAATAGTCTAAATAGTCTTTGAAGAGTGTAGAGTTAGAGAACTTTAAAGTGACAGGTTAAAGCCCCCAACTTGGTTTATTGTTTTAGGTTCTTATAGGAGTTGTTAGCTCTTAGGTGGAGGGAATCGATGGAACTCTAGAGTGAGAGCTGGTATCTTTCCTGCCTAGCTGGTCTTCAGAACTATTCAAACTTTAAATTAGCCAATGTTCTTAATAGCATCTCTAGTAAGGATAAAGAATAATATTGCTCCTATTTAGCACAACACAATTTACATACTTTCACAACATAAATCCTATACTTATTATTGACTCATGATAAGGTGAAAGATATTTTCATATTAAATGTTTTTCTTTTACATAAACTCAAGTTATCTTTGAAAGTTTTATTGTTTTGTCAACATATCAAAAATACCAAAAAGATTCAAATTTTACCTACTGTGAAAATATCTATAGTTTAAGTAATTGTCTTTTTAAAATAGAAATTTTGTTGATTAATAATGCATATTGTTAAATTCTCTGATATTCGGGGCTTAATCAAAAAGTCCTATATTACTTGATAACGATACGTATACTTGCGTAGTATCCCAATATATATATATATAAATTAAAAAGTTAAATTCTTATTTTCTCCAGGATCAATTTTTGGTTCTGTTGCAAATTAAGGAAAAATAAGTGAAAAATATCATCAAAGACATTGTTATACTGTGCACATAAATAGTAAGTCGAGATCAGACAGACTCGAATCTACCTAGAATAACCAATAATTTAGGAACTTAACTCTAGGTTAGCAAATGTTTTTTATGCACTCAAAATAGGTTAAAGAATAGAATTGCTCTTATTTGACATAAAACTACATTTAAAACTTTAGAGAATTGATTTCTACTTTGATTATGGTCTCTTTGCAAGGGGAAAGAACTTTTACATAATTTGAACTTTTCTACGTAAAACTAGTTTTGAACTTTTCTACCATAATTTGAACTTTTCTACGTAAAACTAGTTTAGAAATACTGCATTTTCCTTAAGCTTCAAAATAGATTTAGTAGGAATTTAATAACTTCTTTTTCCACATAAACTTGCTACCATATTTCTTAGATAATTGTCTGGAGCTAAAGTAAAGCTTTACTAAATCTATGAAAGGAGCTTCACCTTCCCTGTGGGATCGATACCGAGGTTTTAAAATAAAATGTTATATTACTTGAAATAATATGTATAATTGCATATGACCCCTAGTGTCTACATTTTTAATTAAATTATAATTTCTAAAAATGCATCTATTGTGCACACTAGCAGCTAAAATATATTGGGTCAAGTTTTTGGCCTTCTTTTTGGAAAGTAAATAACTACGTAATTCTGGGTTGGGTCAACTTTCGATTATGGTATGGTAGTGGCCCTTATCCCTATAGATTTTAGTATTTAGGGGATTAAGATTATAATTTGAAATTCAAAGACAGTAAATTTAGTTGAAACATTTCTTTTTAGAATCTAAAGGATGTAACTAGCGAGCGCACAAAATTGATAAGCCCATTAAACGCTCTAATTAATTTTGGTTAAGCTTTACATTTTCGAGTTTTAGATGAATTTTATATATAAGTTATTTATTTTATGTGGTTGGGACCAATATTCAAATAAAATGAGATCATAAAAATCCTAGGAGCTGTGGACTGAACTTAAACTAAAATGAGTATTACTAATGGATGTACGAAGCTTGAAACAAATCAAGGGGGATAAAGTGGTGCTTTAGAAATATAATGTAGGACATAGAAACCAAGGTCAACTCCTCTATACTTTTGACCATGCCTAGAAAAGTTTGCCAGCTAACCGACCTAATTACTTTACAACCATGCTGTCTAATCTAATGCAATGTAAGATATGTATGGCTATTGTTTAGATTTGAGGAATTTATAAGGATTACATTTCAACCATAAGTAGCAAGCAAACCATGTATGACTAAAATACAATGCTAATAATTAATGCAACAATTAAAGCTTTTAATCTTTTTATTTAGTTATTCAATTTAGTGTAGAAGGTTTGCAGGACATCTAATGTGTGTATGCATGTGTTTTAAATATGAACAATTTAAGCCATAGCTAACTCTAAGTCTTTTATTTCTAGAATTTTTTAACAACTTCTAAGCACTTGCAAGTTGTGCGATGAACCATTTTTGAACTTTAAAAATCAAGTAATGAAATCAAATGATAAACGAGAGACCAAATTGAGTGGCAACTTCTTAGGAGTAGTAAATAAAATTCTACACTTTAAAGTATCTTCAACATCAAGCAAGGAGACAAACTAATCAAAGTAGGCAATAAAATTGATAAGTTATCGATTATCTATAATTTTCTGAGATGAGAAATCTTAAAATGGTGGAAGGCTTCACCTCTATAACATCCTTTTATATAGCATTAATAAATTATAAATTTGCATGTCTTTTTTGTCTAGAAAGTTAAGCACAAAAGGCAATGTGCACGATTTGAAATAGTGACCATAACTTCCTTTTCTTAATTCAATTTTATTTTCTAAGAGCTGATGGAGTTGAATCTTAATTTCTGTTAGGATAATAGATCTAATCACTTGTTATGTAGAAACTATTGCTCTTAAAGTTGAGAGTGTCCTAAGGATGATAATGTTGCCTTACATTTTTTTAGAAGTAGCTTTAGGAAACTACTTCTAGATTCCTTGAATCTTTCTATTTAGTATTTTTCCCACTATTGCTAATAGTATACTAAAGATGAATTATTAATTCTTCATATTCACAAAAAAAATTCTTTGTTTTGTTATGTTTCTCCCGATTTATCTCACTTCTAATTTTAAACATATGAAATGCTCACTGCATCCTTAAAGAAGTTTCGTTGAAAATTCTTATTGATAGTACAGAAATTTTACTAATAAGCAAAATAAGAAAGAGAATTAGAAATTTAAAGAGAGAAATAAAGAGAGAAGAACTTTAAATCAAAATTTCTTGAATTTCATTAGAATGTGTTAAAGTACATAAAATCAAACAGCTTGAGCTCAACCCCTGACTCCTTATTTATAAATTTGGGTTTTGGTTAAATATTAGAGAAAAGGCTATGTATTGACTCATATTAACTTATTGTTGGGAGTCACAGATGTGGTCAAAGAAACTCACAAACTTAAATTTATTTGGGAAAGGTTTTTGAGGTTCTTCTTTCTAGATCACCAACATAGCCCTAATTTATTCTTTCATGTTAATTTCTAAAAAGTTTGTGGTGAGTTGTTATTTTTTTTTAAAACAAGATATGCTAAAATATGATAGAAATAAGAGAAAAACTGAATGACTTTTTTTGAAAAAAAAATATTTATAATGTCCACGATAGCTATAAAAAATTAATTTCCCCATAAATTTTACAATCACCTTTTCAAAAACCTACAAAAGTCTAAAATGGACATTTAATAAAGGTGTCAACTTTTATGGATTAATACTTGTATATAGCTCTAGAGACTTGAGCGAGTAAGTCATAATAAATTAGTAGACAACTTAGGGTCTGCTTGGGGCAGTTGCAGCAGCGCTGCCCTAGGATGCTGCTGCAAGGAAGCTGTCTATTTGTTTATTGCAGCTAAGCGGAAATATCTGTGAGGCATATTTTTCTAGAAAAATGACCATTCAGTCCATGTTTAGTAAAGTTGTTTAAAACTGAACTATAACAATAACATATTTGATACTTCAGAAGTAGAAATTTATTTCAAAACATAACAAAGTTCAGATACAAAACTCACTTAATAGTGAATACTAAAAGTGCTAAAGAAAAAGAAAAAAAAATAAAATTACAAGTAAATTAAGGATGATATTATTATTAACATGAAGGTGACGCATGTCTAATCCTAAATTGTCCTCTAATGATGCTATCAATTCGTGATCACTTTTGACAGTGGAATTAACCTGATCATCAGCCCATCAGAAGAAGTCACACTTTTCTGCGAAGTTCTGCGGACATTTGTAAAACTGTAGATCATAGCTATGAGGCTATTGTTACCTCAGAAAGGAAGTCTTTAGTATGTTGTAGCATAGCAATCTTGGGGACGTTCCTGAAATTCTAGAGCTCATCTTTCCTGAAAGCAAGGAAATAGAATCCATTTTGTTAATCCAATAAGAAATTTTAGCCACTGTAATAAATGCTAAACACAAACTAAAAGCCATGAAAAATCCAACAAGCCATTGCATATCCAAATGAATCAAATCCCATTGTAATAGATATGAACGAATCCAACCCAAACCCAACAAAATCCAACAAGCTAATGTGCATACAGATACCAAAACATATTTTCGCGGTTTTGAAGAGAGGAGAAGAAAAACATACCTCGTGCAAAGAGAAGAGAGCGGAAGAGTAACCGGGAAACCAGAGAAGAGAGAGAAGTTAGGGCGAAGACTGGAGAGGAGCAAACGACACGAAGAGGAGAAACTTTGCGTAGGATTTAGGGCAAAAGGGTATCAGGGCAGCAACATAAAAAAAGTACATGAAAAATTCCAACAGCGAGGTATAACCCACAACCTGGTTTTTACCGATTTGAGCCCACGTCGCTCCCCCGCTGTTTTGCTGCACCGCTCCCCCATGGCTGCTCCAAACAGGTCATTAATGATGATTCTCAGTTCATTTAAGATTGGTAAGTTCATTTGGACTCCGAGTTGGAACCTTTTAGGATAGATGGGTTTTAATGTATTAAGATTTACATAATTATTCCTGGTTTTAAAGTACGACACGAGTTAAAATTCTAATATAGTTTTAAATACAATAATTTTTAATTCGATTAAACTAACAAATACAAATTGGCTAAGATTATGACTTCAAAATCAAGTCATTATGGATTTCAAAACTACTAATTTACCTTATGAGTATTAATATACATAATTAATCATCTTTTGCATTTGTCTCAATTCAAAATAAATTCTGAGTCTTTCAAATCCATTTTCACCAAATTTAGGTCAAGACATAATTTATTTTTAGATATTTAATTTCCAATCAACTGTAATTATTATTTTATTCATTTACTTTTTGTTAAAAGTAACATAACAAGTGCATAAACTTATATTTTCTGAAAAAGGACATCTAACGAATATGAAATTAAAATAATAAATTTTCAAATTATAAAATAAATATAATCACATAAATAGATAAAATAAATTAAAAACATTATTTTTTATCTAAACTCCAAAAATAGATTCTTTTTAGTGGCAAGGAATCAAGGCTTAGACAACCTTTCTTTCCAAAGGTCAGATTTCAAGACTTGAACAACCTCGACTTCCATCCAGACCCGAATCAGGAATTCCAAAGCTGGAACTTTTAAAGATACAGGGTGGCTCGTGGACACCGTCTTTTTCCCCTCCTCTCGACTTTTTTCTGGGGCGATCGTGTCCAGATCCTCTTCTCCGGCTGGCCCGGTGACCGCGGCTTCGGCGTCTATTTCTTCGCCCTCTTATTAGTTGCCATCGCCGCTGCCGCCGAGGAGGCCCTCTCTACCCTTTCTCGTCGCCTCGCCCAGTCTCCTACAGCCTCCCCTGGCTCCAGAGCTTCCGTTGGGTTTGCCCTCACAGCTCTCCACACACTGCGGATGGGCTTGCTCTACCTCGTGATGCTCGCCGTCATGTCATTCAACGTCGGCGTTCTCATCGCCGCTGTTGTCGGACACGCCGTCGGGTATTTCTTCGCTGGGAGCGGCACGTTCAACTGGACCCGACACGCCGATGGCCATGATTTCGCTAAGTGCTAGAAATATTAAATAAATTATCAGGCAATCAGGTATTTGCACTGTTTCTGTTAATTCTCGCTTCTGTTTTTGAACGTTGAAAAAACTAAATCTTTATCAATGATTTGTTCGGACTCTGATCATCTTATCTATTTTGCTGTGATAGAACATTGTATAAGTTAATTCATTGTGCCGATTTGGATTGGAATATTCTTTCGATAGTTCTTCTAACTACTTCACAATTTTTGTTTGTGTGATTTTGTTAAACTCCTAGGATTTTAGAAAGTTCTAATTATGCTTTGATGCTATTAAGTTGGGTTCATTCCCACTATATTGTTAGAGCTGTAAAGGTAAATAAAATTGAGAAATAAATTCAGCACAATTAAACAAATTAAAACAGATATAAGATTGAAATATTTGGAAGGGAGCCTTTTGGATGACCCTAACCTTAGAGTAGATCAAGTTTTCGATGAACTAATTTTCGGCTCTCTTTCTACTTTGGAGTTGCACATCTAACATGGCAAATTTGCAAAACTTTTAACTTAATGTGATTTCCCAGTGTTATGGTATGACTCATATATCATATAAGGGACAAATGCTTGAGCGAACCTAAAGAATATGTCCAATCGGGGGAGTTTTGTTACGTGGGTTGAGAGTGCGGGGACAACGCCCTGCGGTATGGTACAGGGGTAAT